TTCAGGGGGAGTTGTTGCTTGAAACTCTGAATATGTTATGCTTGGTGATTATTTTGTATAAAATGTTCTATCAAAATACATATTTTTGTCATCATCAAAAAGGGGGAGATTGTAAGAACAAGAATTGTCTCTGCAAGATATCTCTATGTTTTGATGATAACAACGAAGTATTTGTGAAAGGACCATTTTATGTTCTAATGTTTGTTGTGTGTAGATCACGTTAATTATAGATATCAGATCAAACAAACAATATCTAGATGTGCGTTCAATACTATATATGATTTACTATGTGTGACAAGCCACAAAGCATATTGAAGAAGCAAGTTTTCCTCTGTATCTGATCACGATCAGAAAGATCAAAGGATGATGGATATTGCGGTTGCAATGCTCTTGTGGATTCTGCTATGAGAAGTGTATCTGATCTGGAAGCTAACAACGCATCTGAAGATATAATCCTCTGAAGATCTACGTGCTGAAGACTCTGATGACTTGAAGCTCTGAATGCTGAAGGCTCTGAAGACCAAGTGCAGAAAGACTCTGAAGACTAGATTCTGAAGTTGAAGATTATATAGCGTCACCCAGACAAAGAATTGTTACTCAGATAAGTTGTTTCTATCCATTCTGATAAACAAGGTGCTTAAGTCCAACGACTCTGATGTTATTGTGCTATCATGCCAAAGTAGTTTCTGAACTACTCATCAGATACATCATCCGAAGAACCAAGACAAGAAGTTGATCTATTCAATCTAATAAACAAAGATCACAACGTATGCAAATATTCCACGTGATATATTAACGTTACAAGAAAAGGACAAAAGAGAATGACATCACTGTACTATTCAACATGTGATTATTCTATCCATTGGGATATGACCGTTGGAATTTGAAAGGACATCTCTACCCTCACAACAACTATCTTGAATACACTATAAAAGAAGAACATTTGATTCATTCAAATGTTAGCTTGTTGGCAAGCATGTTAGCTTGTTAGAAAACAAGTAATATGAAAACTAGTGCTTTAATAATCTCGTAGAGATTTATCTTTAAATATAGTTTCTGTATTATGAAGCAAGGAGTTGTTGCTCAATGCTTACCATGTACTTTAATTAGGAGTAATCTGCTTGATAAGAAGCACTCATGTAATCTCCGGCAACACAAATTCAATTTAGAATTGGTGGTTCCTTAAGTGATCAAGTGAAGATCAGAATACTTGAGAAGACGAGTGGTTGTTGTCATCGTGATTGAAATCCTAACAGGAGATCTTGAGGGATCGGATTCTATTAGCTCAATGAATGTTATATCTGAAAGGATCACTGAACGTGTCATTGTGTGATTGTTAGTCACCAGCAGTTTGCTTGTGCATCTGTAATCAGTTTGGTTATAGTGGATTAAGACCTCAATTGAGAAAGGCAAAATCACCTTGGAAGGGTGGACTGGATTAGCTTGAGAGTTGCTCAAGTAAACCAGGATATATCATGTGTTCTTTACTTGTATTATGCTTTATCATTTATGCTTCCGCAATGCATCTTATAGAATCACGTAAAGCAACAAGTGAAGAGGCGAAAAAGTTTATTGAGGTGAAAACCCAATTCAAACCCCCCCTTTCTTGTGTTTTTCTCACACCTTCATTGTGTATATTTAGTCTTGACTTTTCATGATGGTAAATTTTGACGATGTTTCTTGATGCATTTTTATTGATTGGTTTGATATTGATGCTTGTTGGTACTTTCTTGACGTCATGATGTCATCACATCCTTGATTGTAATCAATTTTGTTTAAGTTTTTTTCTTTTTTTGTTTTGTTGGCTCCCTTGCTATTATAATTTGTGTATCATCATTCCAAAGGAAAGGAACCTCATGTGTTGACTTGTAAGTCATGATGGATAACACTGTCCATCTTTTCCTTGAGACCTTGTGAGAGTTCTGCCTGTTGTAACCTATTTTAGGTAGAGAGTTGGTTAACTCTATGTAAGTATCATGGTTATGGATACTTACTTCCCCTCTAGAACCTTGATCCTTATCAAGAGTTCTTCATCCCTAGTTAGGTGAACTACGGTTGCTTTGATTCCATCCTAGTTAGGATACGTAGGCACAAGATGCGATGTCTTGGCGAGCATACTTAGTGTATATACCCTAAGTCTTTACCTTAGCACCTTTCCTTTAGCAAGCAAACTATAGCATAACACAAATACTAACAAGAAGTTCATGTTGAGTACTACATATACTTAGGATGTTAATACCTTCCCTAGGTATAACCAACCTTCGAACCTTAGATCTCTAGTTGTGTTGTTACATAGCGCATTTAGGATTTTCTTCGATCTTTACCCTTTCCTTTGGATAAATAAAAGTTTGATGGTGAACTTCATGATTTGTGATTCAAGTTAATTGATAGCTTGATATCCGATTCTCACCGTAATAGGAGGATACGTAGAAAAAAGACTCGTAATCTTGTCAAGTAGTCTAATAAAAAAAATATTTTAGTCTTTTTCTTTTTTCTTTCATAACTTTTAATAACTAGAAGAAAACAAATAACAAAGGCTTTCTTTCTATTCGCAAATCTAACTAAATGGTTCTCTTTGTGTACAACGAATATGAGAGGTGTTAATACCTTCCCCTTGCATAGTCGACTCTTGAACCCGAATTTGATTGCAACAATCATTTTCTTTTTTTTCTTTTGGGATTTTTTTTTATATTTTCTCTTTCTATTTGGAATAAATAAATTTCGCTGACGACTCTATTAACATCTCGAACGTGCAAACGTCCATAGTTATTTTTCGCGCCGCGACACTGAACATCTTCAGATCAAGTTAAAACTTGAATAGAGTTTTGAATAGAGTTTTGTTAGTTGGTTCTTTAGTTCCTCGTTTACTTTTAAATGATATACACACTCTATTTCAACACAATTAAAACTTGTTAATTGTGTTGATTTGAATTATTATTTGATTTTTTTTTAGTAATATAATTAATAAAGTATATAGGTGAAATGATATACACACTCTATCTCGTTTGAATAATTTTTTTAAAAAAAATGTACTTATACTAAAATAATAGTATAATTTGTAGCTTAATTTAAAACAAATAAATAAAAATAATAATTATTTTATCTTAATTTGTTGTAATGCAATTTCCCTTTATTTTTATTATGTCCCTTTAAATTTTTATTTTTTAAAACATATACAAATTAATACTTTTTAAAATAAAAAATTACCATGTTTTAATTGAGAAGTTAGGAATTTTTATATAAATAAATAAATAATTTATTTTTGAAAAGAAAAATAAATATAAATTTTTTTAAACCAAAAGAGAAATCAAATAAAACCAAAAAGATACAAGTACATAAGGGGATCAAACCAAGACCTCTTAGAAGAAAAGTCTTAGTCTAGGAATATCATCAATCTTGTCTAACAAGTAATCCTTAACTATATCACTATGAGCATGAGGAAACCAAGAGAAAATCTTAGATTTTAAATCTAAGTTAGCAAGCAAATCAGCACAAAAATTGACTTCTCTATAAATATGGATAATCATAAATGACTCAAGCCAAACTTTCTTCCAATTGAACTAAATAAGATTATGGATATGTTACAGCAAAATAAGATTAAAAACATGTGGAGTACAACTAAATAAAATCACAAAGAAATATCATTAAAAAAAAACGATTATCCAAGATAATAACTTTATTATTGTTGTGGCATTAAATATGAAAGAGAAGTATCAACAATAGTATTTTGTACACTTGAAAAGGACATCAGACGCGTATCATGTGAATCTATTTATGTTGAACTTCAAGATATCAAAATTTTCTTATATTAATAAAAAGTTCCTACATTTAAAGAAAAATCATATAACCAAATACACGAGTTGTAATGATAAAAATTAAAGCATGCTGTATAGTTTCAATAGCATCATAACAATTATAAATTTAGAAAACAAATATAAAAAAATTGAAGGGCTTTTGTTTTTTGGAGGGGGTTGTGACTTTATTGTAATAATGTCACAATTTTGGTGCACTAAATTAATTGAATAATATTATTGATAAACTATTTTAATCAATTATATTTAAAAAAATGCATTAATAGATTGAGGTGAGACAAAAATGTGCGGTAGATGCTAATATCCTCCAAATAGCAACTTTATAAAATCAAATCACTCCATCGTTTTTTGTCAATGCAAACTCAAACATTTTTTCTTACCGCGCTCAAACATTTACTAAAACAATTTCTTTTTCCAATCAACAAATACAATACTACCATTAGTTATCTTGATAAATTCATAAATATGCAATAAAAGCTTCAAAATGACCTAAAAAAAACACTAATTGAATAAGGAAATATTATCACCTAACTATTTGCTTACTTTATTTTTAACGTGTTTAAGGGCACTGCAAATAGAAATAAATTAATCTGTTATATCATATAAATAGTTTAAGAGTTTTAAACTGATTTAATAAAATATATAATCGTTATTAATTAACAATGTAAAATTAATTTACATTTTTAGCACATCAACTTTTTATTATTTTTACGCTAAGATTCTAAGATCCAGAATTCGCTTTGAAAGGTAATAGACATTTAATATTCTTCAAACATTTATTCTTTAGCTTATTCATTCTTTAGCTTGAGTTTGTTTATCACTAGAACTCAAGTGTTTAGTTTTTTTTTTAAAATTATATTCTAAATAATAAAATACATATTCTTTAATTATGAAATTTATTTTAGTAGTATATTATTAGTAGTACACTATTTTATTGCATTCCATCACTGTCTTGCACTGAGAAAGTGAAAGTAAAGTGCATAATGCAGAGAGATGCACCAAAAACAGTTAAAACGTATTTAATTTTCACAACCTCCAAACCCAACAACTTTTTCCCCATTATTCTTAACTTTCTTCCTCAGTTTTCTTCATTCTCCCACAAACCCTAAAATCAACAATTTCACCTTTTCATGCTAATGGGACTTTAGACCCATACCCACCAAAATTAACCTCAAACCCACTTCAATTATGTCAACATTCCACCACTTCACTGCCTTTACCTTTCTCATCTTGTTCCTCAAAACTCAAGCTTTTGATCCTGTTTCATCTTTTTCATTCACTGATTTTGGAAAAGATCCGAGTTTTGAGTCTGTTGTAGGACTTTATGGCAATGCAAAGGTTGTCAATGGAGGCTCTGGAGTTCTGCTTTCAGGGTATGGGAATTCTGGAAATGGGAAAGTGGTGTACAAGAAGGGTGTTAAGCTTGTTGATGTTGGTGGTGAACCGAAGACATTGGTTTCATTTTCAACTTACTTTTCATTTTCGATGTCTTTGGGTGATGGGAATGGTTTGGCTTTTGTAATGGTTCCAAGTGGTTTTCAAGGTGAGTTTTTTGATAATAGTTCATCTGGTTTTACTTTTGGGTTGAAGGAAAAGGTATCTAAAGTTGTTGCTGTTGAGTTTATTGCTTCAAGAGATGTTGGACATGGAAATGAGAATTCTTCTGCTAGTTGTAGTGTAGCTATTAATGTTGGTACTTCTGTTCCTGTTAAAAAAATCAATGTTTCATCTGTTAATATGGTTATGAGAAATGGTGGAAAGTTGCATGCTTGGATTGATTACCAAGCCGGTTCGAGGTGTTTGGAAGTTAGGTTGAGTCAATATGGTCATTCGAAGCCGGTGAATCCGTTGCTATGGCAACCGATTGATTTCACGAATTTGTGGAAGACCCGAGAGATGTTTGCAGGATTTAGTTCTATGAAAGGAAAAACTTCTCAAGCATGTTTTCTCTACTCATGGAGCTTTAATGTGAGGCATTATCAACGTTGGATGCATTCTAAACCGCTCCGCGATATGGTCTTTACGACTCAGGATGCGTATGATCGTCCTCCAGAACCAGAAGTGAAACCAAAGAGTGATTGTCTTTTGAGAATTCTTGCTGCAATGATATTTGGTGTTGGATGTGGATCACTGGCTGCATTCACCGCGCTTTATTTGTGGACGATGTTTGGTAATAGACGTCCTGTGGTTCCAGAGGAGTGTGTTATTCAGCCGGTAGATTACGAGTACAAGAAAGTGAACATTGTTGTAGATAAACCCCTTAAAGATGCTAAGGAGTAAGATCTATAGGATGGAACTAGTCGGATTCATGTGATGTAAATCGGTGTTCCTTGTATTCAGGTTACACTGTGTTGTAGCTCGGTAAAGAACTAATTAAGTTACTTTTTCTGATGTTATTGTCTATTTTTGAAAAAATTAAGATTGAGATCCCCTCTGCATCAATTGTTACATGGCAAATTTCTGTTATCAATGTATATTACACGATGTTTGCTGGCTGAGTTTATTCATGATTTATCAAGCATTTGTCCTCTACAGATTACTTTGCATCCTATAATATTACTACCTTAAATTGCTTGAATATAAAACTGAGTTTTGTTTATGTTAGTTTTGAATATTGAAGTTTTCCTTTGTCAAGCATTTATAACAGTTTGGCATATTGTTATTAAATGGCCTCTCTAAATGTGTATGTTCTGTGAATGTTTTCTCAAATAGTAATATGTTAGTCATGTGACTTTGCATGATATAATCTAGTAGGTGGTGGAAATTTATTTTGATCATTATTGCTTGAAAAACTATATGTTTATGATCATTTAGGTATATTATTTTTTCTGGTTTTTTAAGATGTTTTTCTTTGTTGGTTTTATTGCTTAACTGGAACTTATTTGAAAGAGAATTGTCATACATTATTCATTGCTAAACAAGAGTGTTTTATCTTTAACTTTTAGTTGTTGGTTTTGATTTTGGAGGTAAAAAATTTCAAATGCTACTTAGATATGTGTGAGTTATGTATCTTCCTGTTTCTATTACTACTTTTACTTCAGCTGTTAATTCCTGGAGCAGAATTAAGTTTAGTGTTGTCTGGATCTTGATAGAATTGATTAGAGAAATTTGATTTAACTTTAGTATATGTCTTTCACTTCGATATTTATATCTGGAATTTGTGCTTCATATATCTCTTTCAGAAGTCTTACCAATTTAGGAGGGAAAGCACCAAGTATTTGTTAGGTTAGAAGGAGTTCAATGATCATCATATGAATTTAGAGCGAGCGATCACATAATTTAAAGCAATCACACAATTGAATTGTAGAACACATATTCATCCAAATTCTTAAGATATTAGATTTATAAATCGTATCTCACTTATATGACGTTCAAATTCCTATTTTACTTAATGTGGAACTATTACTCACACTTGATATACTATCAATCCTCCTTTTAAGGTGAGTCCATCCATTTATAAGATATATTTTTCTTCAAACAATTTTTTGATCATACACTTGTACTATTTTGACATAAACATCATCGAGATATGCTATCAATTGTTTGGAAGACTTTCAACACAACGAACAGTCAAATCATAAACTTTGGTACATGTTATTGTGTGAACTTATGAGGTGGATCACATGAGTTGGTGATGTAACCTCTTTTACCACTAGTTGTTATTTGTTAGTGTATTGCTTTGATCTCTCTTCGCACTCACTTTTTTTTTACGCTTTTTCAAAGGCTCAGAAGAACTATATTTGCAAAGACTGTTACGTCAAAGTAAGGTGAAGTGTGTGTAGATAGCAAATATGAGAATTAATAGATTGATCTTATCGGGATTAGAAGAATTTTTAGTAGCCAACAATACGTTGTGGTTTTTAACTTTAGGTGAGAAAAACGGAGGATTGCGATCAGGGCTGCCATGGTCGGGTTGACATTGATTGGTACAGAAATTGACTGGTACTTCTCCAACGTCTTCTGTAGGGTCTTTTGAACTTTTCGGGTATCCACATATTGGATATCATTGTCGGCAGTCTCTTCGAAGGAGGGGGAAGCGGTGCATCCGTCTCTGATCGGAGTGATGTCCTCCAGAGGTGGTATACCGTTGTCGTTTTTGGCATCGTAGAAGGGAGTGAGGGGGTGTACCTGCCATGCATTCTGATGCTAGAGTACAGAGCGAAAGAAAAGCGTACAGAAGTGAGAAGTGGAATTGAATAAAATAACTTGCCCTCTATTAGAATATTGCATTTATAGAGAGTCCTAGCACTGGGCAAACGGTCCCCGTTATGGGCTGAATGCCCAGGCCCATAACGGGTGACTGTCAGGATTCCCACGTGACAATGGGGAGGAGTAGCACGTGCTTATCATCCTGGATCAACTGTCTCGTGTCCTTCGAATGGTGGGTGGATTTTCCCGTTGAAGGGTAAAATGGCTATGCGAATATTTGGGTCTTACCTGACAGCAGGTCAGTATTTTAACCGTCCTCAACACAGCATTGAATTAGACCATGTCCAACAGTGAGGCAGCCAGAGGCACAATCCAGAACATTCATATTTGGTAGTGATCTTTTACTTATAATAATTAGACGTATGCCTCCATGCGATTGTTATTCCACTAAAGTGATTTTTGGGATTTTTAATGCATAAACACAATTTTAATATTATGACGGACTATAAGATCGGTAATGACAATCATATGATTTGAATATGCTCCATACAGCTAAAAACTCAAAGTGTGAGCACATCAAGACTTCTAGATTCTGGATTTTTAGGCACATTGGTTTTCTAGGTTGACCTTAGTTAGGAGTAGATTATTGCACAATGTCATCTTTTAATCACAAAGTGAACACCTTGAATCTCATGACTTTGAACTTTGCTATTGTGCTTGTTTAGTACTTTGAGAGATGATCTTTCTCGGTGAAAAGATCCTTACATCCTTAGTTAATGTAATAGATAATAGGTAAAAGAAATTGAAACCCAAAAAGATATAGAAGTACCTTTGGTCCTTTAGTGAATGAAATTTAAAACTCATTTTTATACTACATTTCTGTTATTTTCATTTTGGTTTTCCGTGCATTGTTAAGATGGTCAATCCTCTCATAATTAAGATCAATTGGGTAGAGAAAACTTGGTTTTGTAGAAGAGTGTTGAGGTCAATTGGTTAGAACAAAAACATGGTCCTATTACAATTCTGATGTAATCACTTTCTTCTATAACTATAGCACCATTTTGAGCTAGATCTTTGTTTACAAGCCTAATAAAATATTATTTAATATGAATTACCAAGGTGCTATTGTGTTAGAGAGCCAAACGCAGAGAGAAATACTATGTATACATGCTAGTTCTGTTGAGTCTCATATTCTCATGATTTTAAATGAGGGTTGATAATGGTTTCGTTAGGTTCAGTAATCTAATGTTTAGACGAGGGTTCTGTAAACTTCCCTAATCTCATAAACAGTACAAAATGGTATGTTTAGTTGTTCCACTAATTTATAACACACTAGAATGGTGAAGTTTACAAACCCCCTTCGTATTAGTTAAACACACTAGAATATTAAATCAGAGAGTAAGTACTGAAAAATACCATATGCAACTTCTATTTTTTTCCATTTACTCAAAGGGAAAAAAGAAGAAACCATGGATGCTTAATTATTATAAGCAGATTTAGAATTAGACTTGTGAGACAATGTTACAATCACGAAATAACAATAAATAATAGACTTTATCTGATTTTGAGATAGTAAATATATCTTAATGTTTAATCAACGAAATTAAAATTGCACCGAAATGATCCCAATTTCACATTACAATTTTTAAGATTTAGTTTCAAGAGAGGCTAATCAATCACCGAAAAAGTATTAATAACAGTTTGTACACCATAATTTGAATATCATCAAGCACGGTTATTAGTTATCATAGAACAATAAAGGGCCTTAACGAGCTTCATACTGAACAATACGTCTGGTGCGTTTCTTGTAAAGGATTCTATAACCACAGTCACGGCACTGAATAACATCACCTGTCTTAAGAGTATTCTCGATTCCACAATCACCACAAAGGTAACTGACTGGCTCAGGCATAGGATCCATATCTAATTTACAAAAATTCAAGAAGTTGAATACAAATTAGTATAATAACAATTCACACAATACTATCAGGTAAAAAAAGAGCAGCGCTCTAACCGAAACAATAAACAATGGAAGATGAATCAGAAAGAACGTAGCGATAATTAATTCGATCATACCAAACATAATATTTGATGATCAGAAATTTTTAATTATTCTTTTCATCATCTTCATCTTCCCCTAGTTCTAATTATTAACAACGATGTTAAACCCTAATTTTAAGCCCTAATTTAAAACCCTAATTGTATATCAAATTGGATCTCAGCGTAATACTTCATCCTCATTTCCTCTATTGAGGTTTCAGATAGATAACGCAGTTTAAAATAACATCATAGATCCATTAATCGAACAAAATAACAAATATTAAATAAAAATTGTAATAAGAACATCTCAGAGTATTAATTCCCCATAAGTTTCTTCACCAACAATCAAAGTGCAAGGATAACGAATTATAATTGCTCATCACTGATGCTCGTAAGAGTGAATACGAAACTTCACCATGTCAAGACTGTGAAGATTGAAACAAAGATAGTACGTTCATACCTTGGATCTGGTAGTTCGAATTGCAGATGTAACGTAGATGCGGATGAAGGAAACGGTGTCTCCAATTATCGGCTGCGTGAGGAATGATGGTGAACTTTCAGAATTTATAGAACTGGTGTAAAACCCTAGGTTCTATTCGGACTCTCATATTTGTATTAGGTCTTGTCCGATTAGCCCAATTTGTTTTGGAAAATATAAGCCCAACTGTTTTTGGATAATATAAGCCCAACTTTTTAAATTCCTTTTATTTAGAGGGTTTTCCAGCCAATCCCATAATTTGACAAGGCTTAAATGGTGTGTTCATATCATAGTACCCTTTACATATTTTTCTTTTTATGTTTTTAAAAATAATTGTGTTTTTTTAGAATTTTTGAAATTTTTTTTAGTTTTATTGGATTTTTGTGGGATTTCACGAGTTCTTACAGCTTTTCGAGAAATATATAAATTTTTATCAAAATTTTTAAATAATTTATGAGTTTTTACCGGATATTTTAAAAAACAGATGCAAAATCATATTTTTACTGGATTTGAATTACCGTATTTTTCAAATTTTCTATCAATTTTTTCAAAAATCTATGAGTTTTGAATGGATTATTAAATATACTATTCGGTTTTTCAAAAATCTAAGAGT